TGTATTTAGTTGAGACTGTAGACACCTTGGAAATTTACATACTCACTGTCTTCTTTCTGCAGAGCTGCCAAGATCGTCTAGTGTTGCTGTAGCGTTGGCTCCGTATGTCTGCGTGTGTATGTGTGTGTGTGCGTGTGTGTGTGTGTGTGTGTGTGGGGGTGTGTGTGTGTGCCGTGTGTCCGGTCAGGCATCTGTCCGTCCCTCACCAGGGCTCTTGGTATTTGAAACTCCAGATGGATGAATGCAATTAGATGTAATATGCTAAAAACTAAATGTCAACATGTTGCCTTTTTACAGCGTTAGCTCTCATTTGTGGGCGCTCTCTTGTCTGGCTGAATGGGCTCATCTCATTCTGAACATGGACCACTGAGTTTCCCTCATTTAACCGACCCCGGCTGCTGCTTTCCCTCTTTTGTCTGCATCGACATGAGCTCCAGTGTTTTCTGTTAACGGCATTTACACTGTAAAGCTTCAGCCTCTTTAATCCCCCCACACTGGTGCCTGATGGAGACTTGCATCATTAAATAACGATTTGGTTAGAAGAATGGAAACTATTCTGTGACAGAAGCCGGTTTGTAAATCACTGACAACACAAAGCAGAGCCACTTCCGTACTTCACATTTTCACTGTAACCTGGGAAAGACAAAAAAATCGTTCTGATTCATTGCATCTTCGTACCAGTGGAAACAAAAGACGAGGACACAAAGCAGTAGAAAGTGATGCGTAAGCTTGTCATCTTCTGTAGTTTCTCTGGCTCTCCTGGGGGCCTGTTAGACAGACAGCTACAGTATTCATGCAACACTGGAATCAGCTGCAAACAACAAGCAAAATCTTGGAGGCATTAGAAACTTGTAAATGACCAAGATAATTTATAATACATTGTGAGCAATCTGTTGTAACCTAACACTGATCAGTCATTTGAATCTGTAATATGCTCTGCTGTTTGTTGTCATAGTTTCATGTTTCAGATTATCAAACTGATGTTAATTTCAGACAAAAATAACCTGAGTATCTTTGTTTATCTCAATCAGTCTGGCTGAAAGAGAAAACTTCCAGCCAGACTGAAAGTTTCAGCTGATATTACCTTCAGCATGGTTTTCCTGCTGAAGGTAATATTCCAGCTTGTCAATTTGATTGCTTGTTCTCACAATTTTGCTTCACCGCACAACTAAATTGTGCTCAAGATTAAGGCCATAAACTGATGGCTGAACATTCTCCATTTTTCACTTCATTTTTCTGTAAAATAACAGAATTCATAGTTAAAACCCAAGGCAGCATCAGCATCAAACCTTCACACTACCGCCATCATGTTTGACTGTGAATTTACTGTTCTTTGTTTGTTCTATGCCAGATGACAAGACCCATACTAGCCTTCCAAAAATTTTCCAGTTTTGTCTTGTTATTCCACAGGATGTTTCTCTGAAATTTGGGGATTTCAATAATTGACACTGAGGTCAAATGAGGCGAAGCCAGCATTGCTTTGAATGTTTCTATTGTCTTTTGTGAACTTCTTAAAATGTGGTGGGTTGGTCACTCCTGGGAAGTTCACTACTGCTCTGTTTTTTTTTTTCATGTGGGATGACTCTCACTGTGGTTTGCAGGAGTGCTATGGCTTTAGAAATTGCATTTCAAGGCTTTTCAGATTAATCAGCGTCAATTGTTTCCCATTTGTTCTTCCATTTCTGTAGACTGCAGAGGGATATGTTGTGTTTTTTTCTGTAATCTTTTGGCCTATTTCTTGTTCAAACAGATTTATTCATGTGAATTTTTTATTTCCAGTAATAAGGCCTCAGTGTAACTAGTGAAACTGAAGTAAGCTTTTTTAAAAATGTGGTTAATTAAATTTAATTCATATTTTAACAATGGCGGCAACTGTCTTTTAATACTGTGCCAGGTTGATTTGAACCTTATTATGTAACATTAACATTATTTACTGTAATAAATTAAAAAATAATTTGAAAATGGCATTTTTTTTATTAATAAGGTAACTGCTTTCTCACATTACACGAGTTGTGAACATTGTCTTTTATGCATGCCACACATTTTATTTTCAGACATCAAATAAATGGCTTGGTTGCTCTGCTCTAGTTTGGCCTCAAACTTTGGTAGTAAGGAAATCTATATATATATATATATTTTCTTTTACCTTGGGCAGCAGAGACTGCTTTGTGATATGAAAATTAATGTTGACCCTAAGGATGAACAGATTGTTATCACAGATGTATGATTCAAAAGGGGGCATCCTTGGCCAGGATCGACTGAAAGCATATTTTTGTGCATTTTTATTTGTGCTGTTGCTGTTTTGTGGCTTGCAGTGTTGGTGCCAGGTGCACTAGCAACATGTTCAATGTTTTGTAGTTGATTGTAATGCAAATGAAGCACATTGAAAATGCAGCTTTTATAAGTTTGTGGCAGTTGACATCTCTCCTCCAAGGTTCAACACAAGAAATAAAGCATTTTGAATTTCTTTAGCATTTTGCATCTATGGATAATTGCAGGGAACAATAACTAAATATTTAAAAAGCATATTTGGAAATATATCTAAAAATGCTAAACATAGTTGCCACAATACCTTCCTGTAAATATTTGCCTAAATGCTAATTGGTAAAAAAAAGAAACAATTATGGAAAACCCCATGACTTTTAAAGAAAGGGAGTGTTGGTATGCTTCTTTGCTAAGCTAACCTTTAGCTATTAGCTCTACTGTAATGCTAAAGACAGCTCGTTGCTGTGATGTGCTTGAAGCTGTTATTTTCCTCTGTAATACTGATGTAGTTTGTGGCACTCTATCTAAAGTATTTTGAGCAGCGAACAGCTACAGCACAGCAGTCAGCGACAGTCTCTAGCTCTGAGTAGCTGTCATGGTCAAGGGCACTTTGTCAAAGGGAGGCGAATTAACTGAGCGTGTTTTAGATGCTGGGAGAAACCGGAGCTCCCAGAGGAAGTCCGCATAAGCTCTGGTTGCTTCAGGGTCCTCTTGATGTGATGTGACAGTGCTAACCTCGAAGCCACAGAGATGCTCATATTTGCTCTCTGCCTGTAACCTTGTGTTGGTTTTCAGCAGCTTCTGTGGAAAATGCTTGGCCCATTAGCTGCCACATCCCCTGTTCTTCCAGTCACCGACTCTGTTGTGTTTACTGGTAGGCAGTGTTGTGGGTTTCAAATAGATTTATGCCTGAGGCAGCTTTTAGAAAGGTTTGAAATTTGCCTTGAATCCCTTGGGGGTTTCTCAAAACTTCACAGAACTTTCCCTCTATGTAGAAATGGTTTGTTGATATATTAAAAATGACATGTACATGTTTCACTTCTGCTGTTAATTATTCATTTTTTCTGAATTGAAAATAAAAGGAGAAAGTCTCTGCTAGAGCTGCAATATGTAACGTTTACAAAGAATTTTTTTTTCTTTTACATTTGTTAAAGCTGTCACCAGGTCATGACCCTGTGTTACAAGACAGCTAATCTGTGAAAAGATCAATCTCCTCTGCATTGTCCCTGAACTGCAATCTGAAGAATTGCACTGCTTTAGAAAAACATTATGACTAAACTGAATAATTTCCTATCCTGTCTCACCCTATACTGTCATGACATAGTGACTGTTTCAACAAATATGTAAAAAATCTATACTTTTTGTAAAAGTTGCAAGCTATATCTTTAATGTTTCTTGAAAAGTCATTTTAGTTGCTTTTGTTAGATCATATCTCATAACTTCAAGATAAGGAAAGTATTCACGTTAACTTCAATGTTTTCTAAAATTATATTCATGGTTAACTGAAGTGTCTGCATGACATGTTGAAATTTAGGATTTCTTCACTATCGGAAGGGAATATGCAATTTTTACAATATACTTTTGAAGGCATTTCACTCCACATTGTGGAGGACATAGTGGATTTATATCGGCATATGACATTTTCCTAAGCATGAGCTGGGGAAATATTTTAATGATAATAATCTTTTAATAAAAATACAAGGCTTTCACTGTATTACTGGAATAATTAAACAATTGAACATTTTACAAGATATAATAATGTTAATTGTAACATGCATTTTACATTATTTTAATGTTGATACAATGAGTAAACAATTGCTAAATCTAGGACTGGTTTTTAAGAGTTGCAGTTTTGCTTTTAAAAGTAACACTAACAGCATAACAATGACAAGGTTATATTATCTTAGTTAGTTGGACTGTCTGCTCAGATGGCTCCCACAGTTAGCTGCTTGACAAACATGTCCCTCATAGTTTATCTACGGTTGATCTCCAGTGTCAATCTATAAGAAGTTTCTATAAAGCAATGATTTCAAGCCACCAAAATATCTCCACAATATTGTTCATACAGTGTAAAATCCCTTTTAAAAATTACTGGTGACCAGAGTTTTTTCTTCCGTTTGGCAGGCTTTCAGTCATATTTTTTATATCATGGGAACCAGTGATGGTTCTTGTATAAATGTCATTTTCAAATCAATAATCGCAAGAACCCAATGTAGGTTTTTGCTCTTACCAACTGTTTTATTAAATGTTTTTGTAGAACCTCACATAGGAAGCTGTTCCACTTGTTGACTGTTTCTTGAATTGCTGATTCAAATTATTTTGAGACCTTTTTAAATTCCTTCCTAGATGCATAGCATGATACAATAGCTTCCTTCTGAAGGCATCAGAAAGGTCTTGGAGGCTCACCATGACGTTTACTCTTCAATAGTCACACCAAAGTAAATGCGTGAGGGTTAAACAGGGCAAAGCTTCGTGAAGGTTTTGTAACAGATTTTCATGATATGATACCCTGTGTGTGAAGTAATTATGTTGAAAGAGAATAATAGATGGAGTAATTGTGTGCATTTTTTAACGTATTCCTCACCAGTCGCATTTTTAGTACGTTACACATGCTGAAAGGTCATTCATTCTAAAATAAAGTTTTACCAATTTAGGTTGACTGAAATATCTTCAATATTGTTACTATTACTATTTTTTTCATTTTATTTTTATCATTTATTTCTCTCTACTTTTAGGTAAGTACGTGTACCAGCCCATGACCAATGTGTGCCAGCTGCCCAGCACAGCTGTGCCGGCCGTCGGATCAGAGTGCAGCGACACCATGGACCTTTCCGTCTCTCTGGCCGAGCGCTTCCTGAAGCTGGCGCCCAGCTTCCAGTCTCCGCCTCACCTGGAGTCTCCCAAGTACTGTGTCATCGCGGATCTGTTTGTGGACGACTACATTGTCAAAAGGATCAATGGGAAGATGTGCTACGTGCAGCGGCCCCTGCCTCCCTTACCGGAACCGCCTCGACCTCCCTCCCCTCAGTCGCCCGCTCCAGCTACACCTCAAATGCCTCCTAATCCAAGTCCGCCAGAGCAGCCAGTGAGCCCGAAGCGGCAGGCCCCTGCTCCACCGGTCCCACAGCCGTACAGCGAACAGAAACACCTCTCCACTGTCGAGAAACTAAAAGGCCCTAAAATGGACCACTGCTCGTCCCCGTCCAGCTCAGAGGACTCCGGTATCAACGCACTGGGCCTCCACTACCTGGAGTCCTGTGAGGAGGGAAGTGAGGATGAGGAGGACGAGTTGAGCACAGATGGAAACTCAAGCCCTGGTAGCCTCTGGGACCAGGACGACTGTTCTCTTCTCTCTCCCTCCAAATCAATGATAGAGATCATCGAAAAGATTGAAACAACTGTCTAACTGACATACAGAAACAATTTATGAGGAGGACCAACGGAGCAGTGTCCAACAGAGAACAGCACTCCAGGATTTCATTTTCCATGGACTCACAGGGAGCAAAACCTCAATCTAGTGGTTCTGTTGGGTATTTCCAAGGTTGCTGAATTTCTTCTCCTGCATGTGGCTGAAGACTATACAGCCACAGATTTCACAGAGCCTCTTTTCTGTCCAATCCCCCTGCATGGAGTTCATTTCTGAGACTTATTGGAATCAAGGAGGAAGCACAAAAATCTCAAGGATGTGAACAGTGGACAGAAAATCAAGAGTAGAGTAGAAACAGGTCAAAACATACACGAAAGATATAAACAGTAGGTTTTTTTGTGATTTTCTTGTGTAGGTAAGTTACAGGAGCTACATTATGTAGGAACAAATTTGTTCTCTGACGACAATGAACAGTGAGGTAACTGTTGGTGTTCTCCAATTGTCAGTCTTCAGTCTCATTCAACCTCCATGTCATCTCTTATTCACTGGTAAGCGACTCCACCTACACACACATTACTAATTCTGACGCTTTAGCGTAATGATTGCGAGGCCGGCTACCTCTCATGGGCCTCGAGCACATCAGCCTTTTAACTCGTTAAAGACTCGCCTCCGAGCTGCCCAGACGCTGCCTGCTTCTGTCACATTAGAAAAAAAAAAAAAGCTTTCAGAGGCCACAATTCATCCGCATTTTACCGACGCCATCACAGGCGGCAGGTAGATCTGTATCTGACAATCAAGAATTACACAGAAGCACATCGCTACATGGTAGCTGCCACTAAAGACCACTTCTATGACTAATTACCACACATTACTATGTTCTTCTGACCACCTTAGTTTGATCAAACTTATCGAAATTGTAGATCACAGGTCAGATTTCTAGAAGTGGGATTCTGTGAGGAGTGTTTGAGTAGTCAGTGTGCTACACTTACCAACAGATGGGTAACAATAAACACAGCTCACTAAAGAAAACAATATGATTATAGGTTCATGAGAACAAGACAAGAAGAGATTTTAACTGGATTTTGGTGAAACAAAGGATGACTTATATTTTTGCTTCCACATATAATGTAAAGGTTTTACAAACCACAAAGAATCTTATTAGTATGGAATATTCTGCTTCAGGTTATTCTGGTTGATATATTATGGTTTCCATGCGTGTCTAAATTTAAAAGGGTCCTAATTCTAATTCTAATTCCTAATCCTAAATCCTAATTCACATTTAAAATGCAATATATTGCACATAAGCAGAGTTAAGGTTTTCTGTGTTTCAGACTGTGGTTGTTAGAATCTCTCTATGATGTAAAACTACCCATTTACACATCTACGCATTTTATATTTTTGAGTTATCAGACAGTAGCACAGAATAGGATACATAAAATATTTATAAGAAAATATTTATAATAAAATATAGGAACAGAAATTATGAAAGCGTCCAGAGTCATTTAAAAAACCTAATGTTTTCCTTTGCTTTAACATCAACAGGAAGCTGCAAAGTGGACAGGAATGTTTGCATAGCTATTAACTGTTAGCTATACATATCTTCCCATAATGCTTACAAACTGTTCATAATTTATTTGTCACTCTTTCAACTTTTCTGCTAAGTACATAAAATCCTGCTAGTTAAGAAATTTAAAAGTGGTGGAGGCTTTTCAGGGCTTTTGTCAGTGAGTGTGTTTTACTAACCAGACAGACTCTTCATCAGCTAACTTTGTCAACAGAACAGGGCAACAACTCAATGACTACTTCCTCTCATACTTCGAAATAAGTCTGAAGCATATAAATGGAACAGGGTGCTAAGATTAAATGCTCACCATTTCATCCGGTGCTCAGAATAATAGCTGACATTTATTTTGACAATCATATGCTGGCAGCAGCTGGATAGCGGTTTACAACACAGGCTTGAATTTGATGAGAAATAGAGAAATATTGTGACATTTTATTATGTTGAAATCTGGCAGCAGGAGATCTTTTTACACCACTGCTTAACAGAGGCACATTTCTGCTAAGGAGAGGTAGTTTTTAGGTATCAGAACCTCACTTTGATTTGGGCCCTAAACTGATGTGTGGAAAGCCATTTAGCAATATCTAAGTATGTAGTTTTAAAACCTTGTACTGTTTGTACTGTTTTCCATCTGTTATGGAGTTTAATATATTTTTTATATGAGAAATAATACCGGAATGACCCTAGTTTTCTTTTAATAAATTAAGTATAGAGTAGTGGATTAATGGCGCCCTCCCAACCGTTGCTGTGCACTGCTATTCAGCTGGCTGCCTTTTTTCCCCTCTCACAAGCTTTTAGCAGGATGTATGCTAATTCTGGCTAATAAACCAAGTAATATAAGACTGCTAGTCTTGTGTTTTGGTATAACATGCAAAACTCATTAGAAAAAGACATTTCTTTGTTATTGCTTAGATTCATAAATCAAAATCACAATATTTTAACTGAAATAATCAAACTATCCATTCATCCATCCATTATCTAAACCCACTTATCCTTTTAGGGTTTTTTGGGAGGGTAGTATCTTTCTCCAGCAATCATGATCTAAATAAAGGTAAATAATAGTATTTAGTTAATTTATATATTTTTATCTGCTTTATTCAATGTAAATACCGTTTTTGCTCAAGGGTATTGTACCACAAAAGTGTGTGCAGAGAACTAGTTTCTGTTCCTGCAAACTGTGCTAGCTCTGTGCTAGCTCTGGTAGCTATCTACTGCAAGCAGAATACTGACTGCTCATAACAACTCCACAGAACCCCAGTTCAAATAATTTGAACCATCCTATTAAAATAGAATCATATACAGATCTTTATAAAGAGCCAGATTTTGAAAATGCTTCAACATATCTCTGGCACAGCAAACATAGGAGAATGATAAAGACTATTATGATACATGATATTGGCTCAATTTGTCTAATGTATTCTTTTAAATCAATATTATAACACAACTGCATATTCATTGGTTTTTGGTGCTATCAATGCATCTTTTATGATGAATCGAAGGAGTAGGCAGGGAAAGAAGTAGATTAGAATAGTTTGTCACAGTTAGTTTGTACTATTGGACAGAAATAAACACTTATTGCACCTTTAGAGGGATATTACAATGTGAGATGGGATGTCGCATAGGTGTTGTGATGTGGTTGATATAACAAGACGTGAGCCAGCCCTTTTATTAGTTGGTCAAATTAAGCGGGCTGGAATTTTATTTTATTTTTTTTCATTTCTCTTCCTTTTCCTTTTGTTCTTCTGTTTTTATAGTTCATTTGTAAAAAGCTATCAGCAAAAATTACCAAAATTTTCACAAGTGTTGCTGAATTTCCTTAAGCACAGAAAGCAGAAGTCATTTTGCATGACTGCATTTGTTTTAGCAAATATATGATATATCTATATATAGTTTAACAAATTTTGTGATTCTGTGTGAAAAAGATAAGACGACTCCTAAATCAGGGTGACATCTTGTGGAGCAGAATCCTTATTAATGCAGGTCAAAATGTATGTTATGTTCTTATTATTGTTATATTATTTTCATATGAATAAATCTTACAAAACTGAGTGCATTTTTTCCTCTTTTGTGCAGTGCAGCAGCACTTATTTGATGAGAATGTCATCGACATGACAACACAGATGACTAATACTTTGCACAGAGAGACTGCAAACGAAAGAGAGGGATCTGTTTGAAACGAGTTTAGCTGCAGATGTCTCCTCTTGAGGAATGTCCTTGATTTTTCTCATTTACTCTTTTGAAACTTTTTTTTTCTTACTGTACATGAGGAATATTTCACTAAGAAAAAAAGCTAAGCTCGGGGATGGTTAAAATATGACCTGTGCATCAGCTTTATGTAAGACATGAAATATTGATCAGAGTGAAGTCTCTCCAGCTGCGACAGCTAAGCCTCCCCTTTACTGATCAGCAGTGCAGGTGGAGTCCTGCCATGTCCTCTGGGCCTCCCCCTTAGGCTGCCTCCTTTGCACTCTCTGTGTAGGAGCTGATATTATGAGAGCGCATGCGAGTGAGTTTCTCATCCTCACTGCAAGCTAAGATTGATTTCTTCATGCTTCTCTTTTCAACTTGCATTATGCCTATTGATTCTTTTTGCCAGAGCAGAGAGAAAACAAAGGCACGGATGAAATGCTAATGAGTTTATGTGACTGTACATTCGCTTTCCTGCAAAATGAGGAAAAAGAAATGGATCATAGATAACTTATTTTTGCTATTTTGTCAATCTTAAATGTTTCAGATCATCAACATATTTTTAATATTAAAGATAAGATGAGTAAATTGGAAATTTATTTTTAAAATGCTGAAATTATATTCAAACTAACCTGGCCCAAAGTAATAATTGCCATTTTAAACCTGGTTCTGCCGAATATTTTTTATGAAAATGCCCTTTTAGTACTTTTTGGTCAGCTGTTGCTTTGGTATTTGAACTCTGTTATGAATGTCAAGTTGTCTAGTGTCTTTCTTATTATTGGATCATGAACACAGAATCTGCAGCAGTCAGAGTCTGCACCACTTTGGACATTGTCCTCTGTTCTTTTCTGACCTCCTTGCTAACTCACTGATCTTGCTTTATAATATTTTCGAAAGCAATTAATATTAGTGAATTTTAGATTTGTTAGCAAACTTCAATGTACACAACATGCTTTGTTCAAACTTGTAGAAGGAAACCCAAACATCTGACCCAAGAATTACACCTTCAAAAAACAATTATCCCTTATACTAAGCAAATGTCTGCAAATTTCAGAATTTGAAAAAAAGTTTTTAAAAAAAATCTGTTTTTGCAAAGTTTCTGGCATTTACAAATATAAATAACTTTGGTAATTCTAACTGTTCTAAAGCAAGAGTCATTTGGTTTACTTTAACTTCAGGAAATGAGAAAAAAATGTGTATGTGTCTCTTACTTCGATGTATGTTAACTTTGGATTCATCTGCAAGTGGCATCTAATCATTGATTGCAGCTGTGTGGCTCATCTGTGCCTCTTAAACATAAACCTCAAGTTCAGTTTGAGCTTATTACAGTTTTCTTTTACTTTAGAAAGCAAGTTCAATACTTCCCCCGTCATTACTCATTACTGCTTGACTTGTTTGTAATGATTTCTTTGTATGCGTGGATCATTGGGGTTGTTGCTGGCAGCTGATGTGAATTTAATGTCAATAGGCTCATTAAAAAATATTTTTGCTGGGAAAAATATTGATGCGCTCAGTACCTATTTTCCCCACTTTTGGGCTGAGAGGAGAGAAATGGGACAGGAAGAGGAAGCTCAATTAAAAGTATGATGATGCAAGAACATGCAAAGTCTCAGCAAAGGCTCTGGATGTCTTGCGCACTCTTACCCGAATCTGTGTGAAGTTGAATATTTCTTTTTTCAAGCCTTCAGATACACTTGAAGAGATCACTGTACCGCTAATCCCTCCCAGCAAAGTCGTTCAGTTGGCAGGCACCTTGAGCACACAAACACCCACAGGATGGAAGACGCATGCCATTTCAAGAAGTACCTCTGTTCAAGGACTGCTTTGCTGGGACGATGGCCACACACGCTATAGGGATGTGTTGTCAGTTCCACTTTTCTTCATTTCAAGGTGTTTGCAAAAGTATGTTGCTCTTCATTTCATGCAATTTCTGTTTCTCTCCAGGGGAAAAACACAGGAAGAACCCAATTACTCAGGAGAAGTTAGAAAATAAAATAAAAAAAACTGAAGTGCCAGCACCTCAGAAGGGCTCAATTTTCACAATTTAAGTTTGCTCCGAGGTAGGTTATTTTTCTCTTAAAAATGCATAAATAATATCTCTCGGCAATTCTTCCGTCTCATAGGTGTCTCAAGGTTTAAAGGTGCATGAAATTTAAAGCATAACGTGTTTTTGCACTCAGAAGTTTGTTTTGTAAGTACGAAAAGTTTAGTTACACAATGACCTGATTTTATAAATATATGCAAAGTTGAAAGATTTTTTGAAGCAAGATTTAAAAATAATTTATAATTTCAGCCATTTGAAATCTGAAAAGGGGGGGGGGCACCTTTCCAAGAACACATTTTCTTTGCCGGGTTCTCACATCTTGCCTAGTCAAAGTTATAGTTCAGGGACGTCATTAGGAACAGAAATGTAATACAAAATTAAAGATCATAGGAAATCATTTGATATCTCAGGCCTTCTCTGAACAGGAAGGACTCCCACATGTAAGAAACAGCTTTTTTCTTGGCAAAGAAATGGAAGGTTTTTGAAAGATATCAAAGGATTCTCAGCAGATTTCTTAGCTCTTCTTGTCAAAATGTAGAGGGAAGAGTAAAGACCTTGTTTAAGTTGCAAAATTAAAAATATTTTGTTAACAGATGCTGTATTTCAGTCAACATGTAACGGACTATGAAAACAATACAAGCCAAATATATTCAAGTTGGTGGTCTGTGACTCCAGAACCTCATATGTTTTTCTAATAACTTGCAAAAAAATTCAAAAAATAATTTAAAATATATAGTTTTTGAAAAATTGCTTCTTCGGTGTTTTCATGCAATGTATGTGCAGTTTCTCCACAAATGATGTTAAATAATGTAATTCATATTCTAATAAGGTCATTTGTTTCATGTAGCTTTGTGTCAACAAATTTTGTTCAGTGAGATTGTAAAGGTTGCTGATCCCTAGTTTAAATGATAGCAGTGTTTTGGTAAGTTGTGCCACACTATTTCTATTTTGCATAATAGAAAGTGTATTTTTCCTTGAGATATTCCAACATTATGATGTTGTTTAACCTACTTTAAACTTATAAAAAACCTCCTTCTTTCCAAGTTGCAGACCCAACTGTTTTGTTATTTTTGTTAAGTAGTAACTTTGAAAATTCATCACTTTCAAATTGAAGATGGTTTAGTCTCTCCAGATGAATGAAGAGCTATTTAGTCCTTCAACCCAAATACCATAAAAACCCAGCATTAGAAGATCCAGTCTCACAGAGGCAAAAGGTTAGGGTAACTATTTGTGTGGCTAAATTGAAAATCTCTTACAGCCCTTACTTTTCTTCAGGCCCCTGTTCTTCCTCTCCATTTCAAAGCTATATAGAAAAACCTCTGCAGCGACTTTCAGAGTAAGATGCAAAGAGCAGCAGTAGCTTAGAATGACAAATGATGAGATTTCCAGAGAAGCAATAAAGGTGGAGGTAGAAAAAGTGTGTTCAGTCAGAGTCCCAGTGGTAGGTCAATGCTTTGCAGAGCAGCTTTTCAATAAAGCTGCAGGACTTTGGTTTGAGCTTTAAGAAACATTGACTGTTTCATTTTATTAAAACATCAAATGGCTTCAATGCACAGATTTAATGTGTGACGGTGGGTCAAAGTTGCATATATACATATATTTTCTGCTAGGGTTGAGCAGCTGTTTCATTTGCTGTTCATATTAAATTTATATAAGCTAAACACAAAGATCCAGATTTCCATTTAAAGCATAAAACTTCTTCCCTCTGCTTGGATTTTTAGAGGCTGAACCTCAGCCGAGGCACTTCTTTCATTTCAAAATGGCCATTTATGTTTCTTCATGCTGTCGCTGTGAGCGGACTAATGCCAGAACCAGGCAGGTGCCAGGAGGGACACTGGGGACTTCGGAGTGCTCTGCCCATAAACAATCAGACGCATGGTCTGCTTCGGCCATGCTCTGTAAGTGATGACTTTCTGATAAGCTCTAAAATCGCCAGAGTGTCA